ATTCTTTACCAAATTTGAATTAAAAATCAAATACAGAAAATAAACACTATGATAAAAATAAGAAAAAATAAAAAGAGAATTAAAATGAGTGAGTGTGCCAGCACCTTTTTGACACTGCCATATTTGCCGATTTTTAATTATTTTTTGGAATTGAAAAATTCCCTGTAAGTTTACAGATATGTAGTTTACATAATCAATAACTCGTTAAAAAATTTTCAAAAAGTAATAATGTTTCTTAGGCCCCGAAATAAAATGAAACCAAAAAGTTTAAAGTGAAAAAAAAAACAAAATAGTGAGTGGGCAAGCACGTTTCGACACCCCCATCTTTGATGATTTTTAGTATTTATTTGGCTTAGCAGAATAGCTTCAAAATTTATATGCGTGTAGATTACATTATAGAGAACTCACAAAAACAAATTCAGAGGAAAAAACATATTCTTAGGCCCCGAAATGTTTTTTGACGGGGGCCGAACCTGGAGGTGTTCGGCCCCCGAACGGGACCCCGAACGCCCGAACGTTCGGGCGCCAGCCCGGGGGCCCCCGAACGTTCGGTCAGGCAACCCTGTCTGTAAGTATTTTTTGAGTTTTTTTTTTTTAATGTTCTCGTTCGGCCTGAACGGTCGAAAGCATCCCCAAGGGGGGCCGAACGTTTGCCAAGCTTGGGTTCGGGAGTTCGGCCGAACGCATCCCCAAGGGGGGCCGAGTGTTTGCTGACACTTAGACGGGAATTGCGACTGAAACGTTTCCCAGGGTGGATGTTCCTGAAGGCCCTGGAGGATTTCTCAGTATGCAACGAAGGTGGATGGGACAAGTGGGTCCGATTTTTTTCAGAAGGTCTGAGAAGAAAACGATATAGACTGAGTTGATCTCTGTCTACCTGGTAGAGAGCTCACCCGCGGGATATCTGATTCCTGCATGATATCGGACGCCACTTTTTGTCGAACTTAGGCGATATCTGCTGAGGCAGTAAGTAGCGACAACGCCAGGATTGCTGGCAATCACGACAAACGGGTGAAACGGCGAGCGGAGAAGAACTACATGCCACCTTCGCTGTATTTCTCACTCACGCATCCTCTCCAGACTATCTTCCGCTGTTCAAGTATATAAGCTACATACTCTTCTTCCCAAGCCTTTTCTCCTCTGACAGTATCTTTCCACGATATCTTACCCTCCTCCTCTTCTCAAACCAACTCCTCTCATACTTCCCTCGCCTTCCACTTCCGAGTCATCCTTTCGCCTCTATCTTATAAATCAGCATCAGCCTCTGCTTTTCCCGCTTTCTTTGAAAATGAATTCCTCCCCAAATCACGTCTACCTCCCTGCTCAGTTTTGTCTCATTAAAAATTTTCGTGATGTCACGCGCGCTCGCAAGGTAATCGTTTTCTCAAGCATTGGTTCGGAAGGACGAGTAAATGAGGACACTAATAGTATTTATATCAGTAGCTGGAACCACTTCTCAAGCGCAGTTACACCTGATGATGGCCATTCCGGCGAGGTGGCCGAAACTAGTCGGGTTTTTCGCCGACTGTGCTCCTGGATTGTATTTCCACATTTTTCGGTAGCATGGTTTTCATTCTACTTTTTGCAAGGGTTCTTCCTGCTTTTTCCATGTCCTCTTCCTATCCTTTATTGCTGCCCCTCCATCTTTCATCTTCTTTCATCTTCGTTCATCTTCTTCCATCTTCTTACTACCTCTACCTCTCCCCCATTTTCTCTCTTTCTTCTCTCTCTCTTTCTCCTTTCTTTCTCTCTCTCCCTTCGAAAACGGGTTGTTGTTCTGCGGATCCTCGCATCACGTGTTTGAGCTATGCTCGACTAACGCGTACAAGCACCGTCTTCGTTGTCTTAGCGTAGCGTGTTAACCACCGTGTGTATGGAGACGCCGGCTCTTGACTGAGCTCTTCCAAGACGATCGCAGCGACAAAGCTTTCTTCGACGGCTTCTACTCCTATTCTTCTCGACCTCCCCGCTATTGCCTGCGTCTTTTTAGTTTTTTTATAAAGATTATTTTTCTTATTTGAGGGAACCTTTCTTCCTTTTGAGAGTGTACGGATGCGTGTTCTATAGACGGGATAGGTGAGAATTAGAAGATCTTGTTATCAAGGTAAATGCGTGCGTTTCACTTTTGCACGTCGTTCAGGATGGCGGATGAGGGTTATGGTGAGCCGAGCCGCAATTGCTATAATTGCGGGTTGTATGGTCACTTCGCGCGTTGGTGTCCTTACCCGCCTGGTACGCAGGATCGCCTAGGGGCGACGGTCAGGTGGCTTCGGGCACGGGAGCTAATTCAGTTCCGCTACGGAATGACGGTTTCGTACAAGGACGACCCATCTTTCCACCACCTCAGCCTCCGTATGTGCATGGACAGCAGGCGGCAAGCAATCAAGCTGCGGGACAGCCCGCGGCTCAAATCGATGCGCTTCCACCTCCGTTGCTCCAACCTCCGACGGCAGCACAATGCCATTATCCCGTATCAGCCTCCGCCGCAAGTTCCGTTTCAACAGCCACGTGACGCTGGGAATATGAACGGCTCACGAGGATGGAACAACAGGCCACGCGAGGTTGTAAGGGAAGGCGAAGGGCTCATGATTCTCAGAGAGATTTGGAATGAAAGACGGGAGGAGAGGGAAAGGAGACGGGAGGAAGAAGATCGTAGGGCGAGAGAGGAGCAGGCAAGGCTGCCACGAGAGGAAGAAGAACGACGGTTGGAACAAGAAGAGAAACGAGAGGCAGATCTCGAGGCTAGACTCACGCGGTTACTTCGCGAACAGATGAAGGAGATGGAGGCGAAAAAGCTAGGTGATTCTGCCGATGTTAGTAAGAAAAAGTGGGATAAGATCGATCAAAACCAACAGGGTAAAGGCAGCAAAGGGGGCGAGGGCGGCGAGAGTAAGAAAAGGGATCAAGGCTCCATGGCAGGGGGCGTAGATAGCACGCAACAACCAGGCAACGACAGACCAAGAACGGAGATTGCGACTTATCCATTGGACACCGGGCTCATCCGAATGGACATAGACACGGTCAGAAAGACACAAGAAGCTCAAGCGGTAATGTTCCAGCAGATGCTCTCCTGTCTTGAAGCTATCTGACAACAAGGAGTTGGTCACATCCCTCTATCCGGTCCCAATGCGCAGACTCAGAGGGTTGCTTCCGTTGCTCTTGTTCTACCGCATACAACTCCCCCCGTACCTCCTCCCGCCCCTCCTCCAGCTCACCCTGTACCTCAACCCTCAAACCCGGCTCCTGCTCCGGTTCCTCCACCAAATCCTTCAGTTCCTCATCATCCTCCTTCCCCTCCCCCTCCCCCTCCTCCCTCTCCTCCCATGGTCCATGACCCTCCCACTCCAGCTTCCCCTCCAATCGCTCCGTCTGCACCTAGTCGCTGCATGCCTGCTACTGAGCCTGGACCCTCACGATCAAGGTCTGATCGCAATGATACCCCCACAGGAGGTGGGTTCTTTGCCAGACTGGCAGGGATGTTTATGTCCATCGCAGGCAACGGAACTAGGAGACGTTCGAACGGCATTAGTATCAACGAAGGCGGCGCGGCTAATCAAGACTTGGGATTTGATCGCATCAATAGAGGAAAGAAAGCTGCGGTTGCTGGACCTGGGAAGGAGGGAAGGAAGAAGTACATCGATGATCTGACTAACGTACTGTTCGCCAAGACCAAGCATGAATTGGAGGATCTCTGCAAGAAAAAAAGGATCAAGTATGTGAACAAGAAGATCACGTCTGCCGCACTGGCTCGCCTCCGAGCCATCGACGCGTATGGTGAGGAATCCGATGAGGAAGAATCCGAGGAGGAGATCCAAGAGGAGAATCCCCCCTGATAATCTATCAATGCCCCCTCTGCATGGCTGCTTTTAGAAAAAGTGAGGAATGAAAGGAAGAAGAATGGCTGGCAGGGGGGTGAAGCACGAGAACGAGATCAGTTGATGAGGTTCTTATTTCTTTTTTTTGTCTTATCTCAGCAGTTGAGCTGGGCTAGCAAATTTCGTGATGACTGGAAGGCGTTGCTGGAAGATGGGAAACAACTGTGTGAATTTGATGGACCGTGTGTGTATGTCCTCATTTTACCTTGGTTCAGAGCAATGTATGTTGGATCGACCACTAGAACTCTAGGAGTGAGATGGGTGGAACATATTAGAAGGTCGCTGCATTCTGGTGATGGTAGGAACCACCGACTGCGAAAATGGCTCCAACGGAAACACTGGTCAAGTTATATAGCTATTCCTATTGCTTTCCCTCCCGATGAGGAAATTCGGGAAGTAGAAGAGCATCTCATCTCTAGATGGTCGCCCGTTCTTAATTGTGTCAAGAGGAGGAAAAGACCATGTTACAGGAAAGGACGTCGGGAACGTTTATCTTACTTACGAGGGCAAGGGAACTGTAGGCAAGGTGTTTCCTCCGGGAAACTGATTATATGGATGGCTTCTTCCGTGACCATCCCCGTTCCTCGACCTTGGCTACCTTCTCTGGCTTCTTTCTCTCTCATGAGATTGCTGAATGATACCATCGCAGTTGGAGTGTTGCATGTAGTAATTGCAAGTTTTGGGGGTGAATGGTTCCTTGATTCATGGAGTAGATTGCATCGTATTTATGGATGGTCAATTGTGGAATTTAATGGAAAGAAAACCATTCTGAAAATTTTAAAACATGAATTATGTGCTGGTGGGGTGTTTTGTTTCTTAAAAATAAAACGTCGAAGCAACCTTTCTAACCTTAGGCGAGATATCCTGGTCACATTGCTTGAGGTGCCCAGCACGAGGGAGGGACTATATAAAATCGGACAGAACCATTTAATTAAGTTGTATAACTCGATTGAACTGTTTCACAGGGAACGGTCGAAGTTTATTTTGAAAGGGGTAGTTGGACGCGCCCTGGCCAAGTCATGTGGTTTTCGATGTTTATCTCTTGTAGTCGTACGCGTTGTGTATGAAAATTGGATACGTTAGAGTAAAGTACATGATCTAGCTAAAACGGTTATACGTAAGCGTTGTTCAAACAGTTTTTTGGCCAATTTCATAATCTCCAAATTGAGGATTGTCTATAGTGCCAATAAGTCCGTCGCTCATAGGCTGCATAATCACAGGAAGATGTCCAGGATGGGCAGGGCTTGCTGCTCCTGCAGCAAAGTTCGTAAGGACTTTCCACGAAACAATGATGGACACGTGGCGTTTCATTTTTCTCAGATAGCTTCCCTACCTGCAGCGCTCAAGAATGCTAACAATATTCTGAGACCTAGAGCATCTGTGTCTGTCGGGAAACTCAAGAGAGCAATGATCGAAGGATTAGCCATCATACCTAGCACTGAAAACTGGATAGGAGATTATGAGTCTCTTCGCACGTGTTTTACTGAACAGACACTGGAGGGATCTCCAGAAGTCGATGTTCTGAACTCTTGGGCTGAATCTTTGAAGGACTTAGTGGTGGCACCAATAGATCACAATGCAGGGGATTCCTTCGTATGCTGCTCTTCCATCTATTACTCGGCACTTGAGAAACTATATTGGGGGAATGATGGGTTTATTATAGACAAGAGATCAAAGGAGGACATTTTGAGGATATGCAAGACTAGATACTTCGGTATCCAGGCTCAGACTGTGACACCTTGGAACGGTAAAGGAAAACTGGGATGTGCTTATGGCATCCCCAAGCACAAAGACGTCTGCAGGTGGAGGCCCATTGCCCCCTCCTTCTCTGAGCCCAGCATGAGAGCCTGCAAACTCATTGCTAAGGCAATCAATGGTTTATTATGGACGATCCCAAAGCACTGTCATTTCAACCTTAAAAGCACAAACCTGCTAAAGAAACGGTTTAGTCGTTTGAACCAGAAAGTGGAAAAGATGGCGGACAAAATTATGTTGTCCTAAAGCCTCCACATAAAAGAAATGTTCACAAAGCTGCCACATGATGAGATCATCAGGGCAATTGAATGGATGTGCGATTATTTTTTGGCGAAGGGGCACAACGCTGTGCGAATCAACAAAAGAGGCAAAGGTGTCGTTTTGGGGAAAGGGCATGGCGAAAGAGGGTGGGTTACAATTAAATTCAGCTTGCTGGTAGATTTCGTGAAATTCAATTTAGAACACTCCTTTTCCAAACTTTCATCTTTCATCATCCGACAGCTAAGTCGTAGGGATTCCCATGGGGAAGAGTTCCAACCCATTTCTTGCATGTCTCCTCTGTGACCACGAATTCAACTTTCCCAATTCCTTAGGAAAGGATCGTCGTCTAATTACTGGCCTAAGGTTGGTAGATGATGTTGCCATCTTTCTCATCCTCCCCAACTCTTCCCAAACGACTCTCGACAAGGCAACAACTGTTTTTTCCCGTTTTCGTCGGATCTACAACCATAATCTCACTGTAGTGAGGACCGACCAGCGAGACGGAGTTCTTGACTTCTTGGGTTGTAAAGTTTTGTCCCAGACACATCCGCCTACAGTACGTTGTGACGCCAGGACTCGGATGAAGAACCAATGCGATATCTGGGATAAGGGGCATATCACCTTTCAGTCGACGCAGGACTACTGGTCCTACGGGCCAACAATCCAAAAGATTGGAGTGATAAAGTGTCACTTCAGTAGGATAATGACCCACTCCTCAGATTCTAGAGGAGTGGGTCAGTGTTTGCTGGCACTTATACGGGAATTGCGACTGAAACGTTTCCCAGGGTGGATGTTCCTGAAGGCCTTGGAGGATTTCTCCGTATGCAACGGGGGTGGATGGGACAAGTGGGTCCAATTTTTTTCAGAAGGTCTGAGAAGAAAACGATACAAACTGAGTTGATCTCTGTCTACCTGGTCGAGAGCTCACCTGCGGAATATCTGATTCCTGCATGATATTGGACGCCACTTTTTGTCGAACTTAGCCGATATCCGTTGAGGCAGTAAGTAGCGACAACGCCAGGATTGCTGACAATCACGACAAACGGGTGAAACGGCGAGCGGAGAAGAACTACATGCCAACTTCGCTGTATTTCTCACTCACGCATCCTCTCCAGACTATCTTCCGCTGTTCAAGTATCTAAGCTAAATACTCTTCTTCCCAAGCCTTTTCTCCTCTCATAGTATCTTTTCACGATATCTTACCCTCCTCCTTTTCTCAAGCCAGCTCCTTTCATACTTCCCTCGCCTTCCACTTCCGAGTCATCCTCCCGCCTCTATCTGATAAATCAGCATCAACCTCTGCTCTTCCCGCTTTCTTTGAAAATGAATTCCTCCCCAAATCACCACTCCTGGTTAATGGACCCCAGAAAATTCGCCGAACTGGATAGCGAAGCTTGTAAACGAAATGTTAGCGAATTCGTGGTTTTTAAACCTCAATTCATGCTTTGTCTTCATGAAGACGAAATCCATGTTTGCGAATTCGTGGTTTTTTAAATCCGGAATGTCCATTAACGTGATGAACAACTCTCTAAAGCCAACCTAGTGTTCTTCGAAATTGTATCCAGGTGTACGTTCGGGATTTTCGCTACAGAAATCGCACTTCGGGATTTCGAGATTTTACTTAGTCATTTCTCGAAATTATATTCAGGCGTACGTTCGGGATTTCACTACTGAAATCGCACTTCGGGATTTCATGATTTTACTTGGTCATTTCTCGAAGTTATATTCGCACGTGCGTTCGGGATTTCGCTACCAAAATCGCACTTCGGGATTTCGTGATTTTACTTAGTCGTTTCTCGAAAAATTATATCCGAACGTACGTTCGGGATTTTCGCTACTGTAATCGCACTTCGGGATTTCGCGATTTTACTTAGTCGTTTCTCGAAATTATGTCCAGGCGTGCGTTCGGGATTTCGCTACCGAAATCGCACTTCGGGATTTCGGGATTTTACTTGGTCATTTCTCAAAGTTATATCCGCACGTGCGTTCGGGATTTCTCTACTGAAATCGAACTTCGGGATTTCGGGATTTTACTTAGTCATTTCTCGAAGTTATATCCGCACATGCGTCGGGATTTCGCTACCGAAATCACACTTCAGGATTTCATGATTTTACTTAGCCGTTTCTCGAAGTAATATTCGCACATGCGTTCGGGATTTCGCTACCGAAATCGCACTTCGGGATTTCGGGATTTTACTTAGTCTTTCTCGAAAAATTATATCCGAACGTACATTCGGGATTTCGCTACCGAAATCACACTTCAGGATTTTGGGATTTTACTTAGCTGTTTCTCGAAGTTATATTCGCACGTGCGTTCGGGATTTCGCTACCGAAATCGCACTTCGGGATTTCGGGATTTTACTTCGTTATTTCTCGAAGTTATATCCGCACGTGCGTTCGGGATTTCGCTACCGAAATCACACTTCGGAATTTCGAGATTTTACTTGATCGTTTCTCGAAATTATATCCGAACATACGTTCGAGATTTCCCTACCGAAATCGCACTTCGGGATTTCGGGATTTCACTTAGCCATTTCTCGAAGTTATATCCGTACATGCGTCGGGATTTCACTACGGAAATCACACTTCAGGATTTCGGGATTTTACTTAGCTGTTTCTCGAAGTTATATTCGGACGTGCGTTCCGGATTTCGCTACCGAAATCGCACTTCGGGATTTCGGGATTTAACTTAGCCATTTCTCGAAGTTATATTTGCATGTGCGTTCGGGATTTTGCTACCGAAATCGCACTTCAGGATTTCGGGATTTTACTTAGCCGTTTCTCGAAATTATATCCAACATCACAATCGTCACCGCTTAGTACAATTGTCACCGCTCGGTGTTCCGCTAGCGAAACGCTCTTCAGGATTTTCGAGATTCACTTAGTTAAATCCTAATGTTATATCCCTCTGTGATTCGGTGTTTCGTCACCAAAACACACTTCGGGATTTTCGGGGTTTCCTTAGTTGTACCCCACTGTTAGACCCCCCACAAATTCGGTGTTTTGTTAC